ACCGTCTTGACCCCGACGGGCGGCGGCGGCCCCGGGGAGCGGCCGTCTTGGAAGCAGCCGTGCGCTCGTTTTAGCTGACGCGCGGTCTCGATCACGAACTCGATGCGATCCGCGCCCTCGTAGTTGACGCAACCGCGGCATACAGGCTCCGAGAAGTCCCAGATCATGGCCCAGGGCATCCGGGGCAGGTCGCACAGGTAGCAAGATTGTCTCCGGGACGAGGACACCTGTGCCGCCGACATGATGCCGGCCCTGGGGAAGGTAGGCCGCTGCCCGGTCTGTCTCCGCGGCGCTTTCTCCTCCCCTGGTCGGCTACGGAGGGAGTCCGGCTGCGGGGGAGAGAGAAGGAGGGCGAGAAAGTTCTGCCCCACGGGCTGGAAAGAGCGCAAGTCTCCACCAGCGCAGCGCCTCTCCGCGGGGGCTCAGCCGCCCGGGCGGCGCACGGGTCCTCGCCCCCACCTCCTACTGCGGCTGTCTAGCCGAGGAAGCAAGCTCAGGCGCCTTCTTCCTGGTGCCGGGGACCCGTGCTGGAAGCTCTTGGCCCGGGGGGAGGGGGCAAGGGTGTTCGGCCGCCGTTGCCTCTTGGGCCCCCTCCCCGAAGTGGCTGGTGCGTGAAAGCTCGTGAAGGGCTGCCTCTTTCCTCTCCCCGTCAGCTTCCCTAGGGCGAGGGCTAGAGGGTTCAGTGCCACGCGGTGCCCGTGTCCAATCTTGCTGAAGCCGCTGCTTTCCCGAAGGGCCGGGGGAGGGAGGGGGTGGCGGCAGCCGAAAAGGAGCTTCTCCCCTCCGCAGCGTCGGCGGGTCCGCTGGCGGTGGCTGGGTTTGCGCGGCCGGAGGGAGCCTCCGCGGCCACTGCTTCCAGGACGCACGAGAGGAGAGGAGTGCACGCACGCAGGCTCCCGCCGCCCCAGGCCTGGCCGGCGCCCGGGCCGCGCGGCTGACGGCGCTCACATTGGCTGCAGGGCGCTCGCGCGGCGCCTCGCCCCGGGTCGCATCCCTTTCCCGCTCGCGCTCGCCCGGAATGTGGGGTTGTGATTGTTACTCTACGTTCCAGAGGCGCGTCTCGGCGCTCCCGCTCGGGCTGCGGCTCGCGCTGTCCCCGGCTTGGCCGCGCGGGATACCGCCCGGGCGGAGCGCTGACGTCACCACCATGCTCTGCACCAGTCTCCCCCCACCACCACCCCTTACACTTCCTCTGTGTGGAGCCCACTTGTTGCTCTGGAAAGGCGCATGCGCGGCCTGGGGCCCAGATTCCTCCCAGCCGGCCCCTCCTCCGCGCCTCCGCCCTCCCCTCCCCCTCGCCGTGTGTGTACAACAGCTGAGGCCCGGCGAGCTAAAGCTGGAAGCCCTGGGCTGGGGGTGGAAATTAAACAGACGCTGACCTTTCCCTTCTCCGCCCTACTTTCCTAAGTAAAAACGCATTTAAGAACCACAAGCATCGTTTCCGACCCCTGCTCCCCTCCCCTCCCCACCCCACCCCTCACCCCATCCGCGGCTGGCAATGGAAATGGCCTGTTTCAGAACTTTCGCTGTGAATTTCATAGAGGGAATTACTCATTTCATCTCTGAAGAAACCATTCCCTACCACTACCCGGTATGGACGTTATGCCCTTTTCCACCACGGATGCCGGAACACCTGCAAAATTAGCTGTTTTTCAATCTTACAGAAACTGCCTTTTCGATTTGTTCTTGTGCCCTGGTGTAGGAACTCGCTTCAGCCACGGAGCTAAATGCTTTCAGGGTGAGCTCTCCCCTCCCCCAGCCGCACTCTAAAAATTTTGGCTGAACGTGTAAAGAAGCTACGAGCACCCGGAGGCCTTTAAGGAAAACAGTCGACGGGCTGCGCACAGCTGCTGTTGGGGGCAGGAAGGGGGAGGTGCTAGAGAGGCCGAATAGGTGAGTGGTTTTTTTTTTTTTTTTTTTTGCGTACATTTTATTGTGGTTTGGGTGAAAGTTTACGGAGCACATTAGTCTCCCATTCAGCAATTTATGCATTTTGTTTCGTGACATGAGTTGCAATTCCCTCGATCTAACAGTCTTGCCACTTCCTCCCTGGGTTCCTTGTTTTCATTCGTGCATATTTCCTGCCCCTTCCTGCTTTCTGAACTTATTTTTGGGAAGTTGCTGCCCTTTTGGTCTCTTTAGTGTGAATGGTTTTTCTGGGTTCGATCAGAAGGCCGGGACATTTAATAATAGTGATATCTTGGTAAAGCACAGAGCTGTTTTCAAAGTACTTTTTCAGGTGCTGTGACGGGAAAGACTGACAAAGGCCATGATTTCTTTTCCATTAAGAAACCCACTGCCGTGGAGTCGGATCCGACTCATAGGGACCTCTCCTTGGGTTTCTGAGATGGTACCACTAGGGAAGTTGATTGCCCAATCTTTCTTCCCAGAAGTGGCTGGTGG